TACATTCTTTTTTCTTCTATTCGAAATAATATTTTCAATTTATGATTTCATATTTTGTTTTTGTTTTTATGGTTTGTAAAATAAGTATTTGATTTTTTCACTTTTAAATTTATTTTGTATGAAGACCTAAAAATTCCAAACCTAAAATATATAGAAGCTGGTCAAAAAAGATCACAATATATAGAAGTCCATAAAGAAAAGAGCTACTTGCTGAGCTGTATAGCTTCATTAGAGAGAAGCTTTTTATAAATCATTTTCATTCACAACAGTGCTAATTATTTTTTCCTTTTGTATAGCTTTTTTTTGTTGTTGTCACCTATTCTATACATCAAGTTTATTTTTATGCTATGATTTTAAACTTTAGTATTTTTTTATTCACAGCAAAACTGTAGATTTTTTTTTTATGAAAAATCTTCATTCATTTTACATCGTAAAATATGAATAATTTTATTTTATTTTTCTGCATATATTTTTTCTTAACATTTAAAAAACAAATATTTCAACAATTATTCCGTGCAAGTTTTTTCATTGTTCGATTTTAACATCTGTTTCCACATCTTGTTTGTTTCTTATTAGAATTAGCATAATTTTTTTTTATAAAAACATACAGTTTTTTTTTTGTAAAATTGGTGTTTTGTTTTTAAAGTTAATATCTTAAAAGGCCCAAAAAACCTCCATAAAAATAAAGTCACATTAGTTAATATTATGTGAAAACCCAAAATACTTAAAGCCCAAAAAATAAAAATAAAAAAACTGATGTGTACACTTTAGATGAAGAGAAACTTCTCTAATTATATATATGATTTTATGCATTTTACTTATAATTATTTCAAATATTTTAAATTTTTAATAAATGATTAAGTTCGATGCCAATATATCATATATACTTTTGTTTATATATATATATATATATATATGCAGAGAACGTCTTTGAAACGAAATTGTGTTACTAGTTTTTGGCTTTTTGCTATGGGAATCAAAATTGAAGCACAAGTCTCATATGGTCAAGAGTAATTCAATACAGGCATAAGCGTATATGCACTAACCCCTAATTAATCCTACTGTTTTCATTAGTTAGATAAAATGACTTTAACTTCTTCATGAATTTGGAAGCATTTTCAGAATTTGGGTTTAAAAGATGAATGCAATGAGAGAACAATTTAAACTTTTCTTAGAGATTACAATGGGAGGAGAAGAAGAGCTCTATAAGCTTTTCTAATGGAATTTAAGCTAAAGCGCTAATAACAAGTTGGAATAAATGAAATAAAAAGTGCCTAGCAATAGCTCCTCTCGCAATACACGCAACGACACCATTCTTCCTATGACAATCACATCGACTATGAATATACTATAAAATTACAACAAAAATATTTTATGCAAAAATAATTTGCAAACTATTAACCTTGCATCGCAGTGTTCAAAATGAACGTGACACAAGTCCTCTTTGTATGCATTATTGTTATTGTCCTGCAGAGTTCCCATCCTTAAAACCGTTCCCATTACATATGTGACAAAACGTATTTCAGACACATACAATCACGGTAACCAAGTACAAAAACAAATCTAAAAAACCCAAAAAAAAAAATTACCGATTAAAGATCGAGGTTCAAACTCCCTAGTACGAATATCAAAAATTCGCCGACAGAGAAGAAATAATCCAGGAGGTCCATCATCAAATCTCCTAACCCTTGTCAAACGACCGAACTCGATCTTTTGACCGTAGTCGGACAAAACCACAGATCCAGTCTTGCGTTTAACTTCGAAATTACAGAACTCATACCAAGATCCTTCCTTCAAGTAGTTTTCATAGATAAGAAATTCACCGGGCAAGACAGTCACCGAGATTTGTCTTCGCTAATAGTAAATTGTTCCAAAAATAGAGATCAAAATATAAATAAGCAACAAATTCATAAAGAAATTTTCACATGCAAACAGAAAATAGTAAACTGTTCCACTTATCTGTTTCTAAAAATTTACCTGAGCGTCGGTAACCATTAGCTCCAATGTACGACCGAAGAAATAGACCTGTCTCCAAATTCGAAAAACCTTCACACGAACTGACCGCTGAACGAAACCTTTTTTTTATCTCAGAAAGAGAATTCATAGCAAAGAAAAGAACACTGAGGCAAAGATCGAAAGGTACTCCCTGTAGTTTAACTATGGGTCCTCTCGAACGGCAGGGGAAAGAAGATTATGCTGCTTAAAGAACCCTAAAAGCCTATATATAGCAGTAAGCAATCTACTTTGGGGACAAATATTCTTTTAGAAATCACTGACATCCGTTTGCTTTCCAATTATTTGTCCATATCGAACTTGTTGCAAACCATATTGGGCCCAAGTAAAACGAATAGTTAATTAATTCGACCCATACGAATCCAACGGAAGTAAATAAACATCGAATATAAAAAGTCATGACAACAATCTACACTATCACTATCCAAATATTTTTAGATCGTATAAAAGACAACGATCTTAATATCTTAGCATAACACAAGATATCCGATATCGAACAGCATGATATCTCTAACAATCCTAACCAACAAAATCTTAAAGTAAAATTAATATAAAAATTTCTGGATGGATAAGAATAGTATATTGCAGGATATATCCCATTTTACTTTTTTGACTTATAAGATGTCAACAATATATACGTATTACGCGTATATACATCAATATGCATAGAAACATCTCGTCTTATATAATCTCGTTCAAGATACCACAGACTAACTAATTTCAATTAGCACGCCAAGCTCTTATTTTTAGACATCCTAAAAAAGACGAAAAATACAATAGAGATATCATAGAACAACCAAATAGAATAAGAAAATAATTTATTAAGAAAACACAACACTATTACAAATCATAGCCAACATAAATACAAATAATAGATAACATCATGGAACAAACAAATAGAATAGAAAAAAAAATATTAAGAGAACACAACACTATTACAAATCATAACCAACCTAAATACAAATTATAGATAACCTAATACAATCAATTTCATTAATCTCGACGAAATATCAACGAAAGTACTCCTCTTCAAGGCAGTCACGATCAAGCAGATACACTCAGGAATATGAAACTTCTTATCTTTGATGTTCCCAACATGTCCTCTACACTCCAAACACAACATTGAACAAATCATTAATCACACCCTTGCAAGAACCCTATCACACATTAAACATCACAATAAATAAAAAGAATCGTTAGATATAAATATAGAAAAACGTCAAATATAATTTTAACTTATTATGAGAATATAAATATCACAAAAGAGAATATACACAAACTTTGAAACATTAAGACAATACAAAAATCATAACGGCACAAACCTCTCGAGTAAAATGTGAAAGTAGACTTCTGAATGGCACTTGACATGGTAATCAACCACCAATCCCCAATTAAAAGTAGACAACCCTTAGCCATTCGACACAAAATAAAAACCCAGTCAATATCACAAAATTCTCAACAAAAATAATCTCATCTATATTCATCAGCTAAGAATATAGGATATACCAAACCAAACCAAAATCATATACATGAAAAGAAACTAAAGAAACTAAAGAAACATATAGAAAATCAAAATATAATATCCATCAAACAATTACGGAAAACAAAATAACATTTTGATAATACATCACAAAACCGAAGCCGGCATATATCGACGAATATACAGTCATTAATAAAAAGACAAAAAGTATAAACAAAAATAACATAATACATATTTATATCCGTCATAAACAAAGAACATAATGTTTAAGCCAGATCAACAAATCGAGATGATCAATAAAGCCATACCACATACATAATACATATGACTAATTCATTAGATAAGCATATACGAATAAATTCATCAAATACATGTATACATAAGAAAATATTGATCAAATATAAAATCAACATGATCAGCTGCAAAACTACAAAAAAGAAAATAACACCTCGATGATTCTTCGCGTAGTCGAGACGTGATCAGCGCCAAAAATATAATCGTCAACAAATTCAAAAAAAGGTTAAACGAAAATCCAAATCAACAAAAGAACGTAATACATTTATATGATATACGTAGAGAACATACCTTGTAAGCAGAGCAATGCTTCAATAAGGTCAACAAAGCCATCAACTGCATGCATATAAAAAAATTCATTAGATACGCGTATGAAAATTTTACCAAAATACAAAATCTAAAAAACACGAAGAACAAACAAACAAATCGATCGTTTTTGCCGATCCTAGAATACTGAACTATATATATAGAAAAAGATTTGGGTTACATGACAACCGCTCATACATTATGGATCACGGTCCGAATTAAAAGAATGATTTTAAAAATTTAGAAAGTATACGAAATTACCTAGATTTTATTAAAATTCGCATAGAATAATGGTAACTATATTAATATGTTATTTCCAGTTTGATAACCATATAATTATTAAACCAACAAATATTCTTTTTTATTATTTCATAACTTATTTAGTAATTAATTTTTTTTGGAAATATCTAAAAATTAAATTCGAAATATACATAAATTAGCAAAAAATAATATCAAAAATCTCGAAAAATATTAAAATAGATTAATAATTTTTTCATTAAAGATATTTAAGTAATGTTTAGTAAAATTGAATGAGAGAACTCTATTCTTTAAAATCACTTCACAAATAATAGTTTAGATAAATTGATGTAGAATAAAAAAATGTGGAATGAAATGAAAATTACATTTTATTTATTATTTAGTATTTTCAAAATAATTTTTTTTATATAAAATAAATAGAATAAATGGATTAATTTTATTTATTTATTCTTATAACTTGTAACAATTTTGTGGAATTTCGTACAATCTATTCCATTTAGGATCCAGTAATAACCACAGCCCTTTTGTTCACTAAACTGTTTAGCATTCTGTAATCTAACAACAGATTTATTCTTATTATCATACAACAAATTTATTCTTATTATCATACACTCAAAGTCTAAAGTCTGAACTGTCTTAAATTTATTCTTTAACCTGTAATAAACTCCACAAACTTCTTCATGAATTTGGGAGTGTTCTCAGAATCTGGGTTTTCGAGATGAAAGCAATGATCTTCATCTTCATCCTCTACCACTTCCAAATCTCCTCTCCACCCACTCTGTTTCAGCTTCGCCGCATAAGCCAATCCTTGCCGCACAAACACATCTTTCCCGGCCACAGCAACTAAAACCTTCTCGCATCCCAACCCGGAAAAATCCGACCCGGATCCGACCACATCAAACAACGGGTCGCCCGTTCCATCGACGCTATTCGGACTCACGAGTTTTTCCCAAAATTCTGCCATGTTGCTTCTGATCCTTTCGTCTTGCACATCTTTCTCGTCGACCGGATCTTTCCCCCAAAAAGCTGGATGCACTATCGCAGTCCCTTTGATTCTAGCGTTAAGCTTCTCCTTCCCGGCTCTCATGGCCATGTGATGCGATATATTAGCGCCGGCGCTGTCTCCGGCGAGAAAAACTCTGTCGAAATCGGCGTATTCGTTGATCCAATCAACAGGACCAGATCCATCTGCATGAGAGAAAATCCACTGAATCGCGGTCCATGAATCCTCGTACGCCGCCGGAATCGGATCCTCCGGCGCACGGCGGTACTGAATCGACACCGCCAGGCAATTCGCGGATTTGACGACCTCCGTGAGGAAATCGTGGTACATGGGAGAGAAAGGGGACTCGACGATCCAACCTCCGCCGTGGATGTAGATAAGTAGAGGGAGTTTTTTGTTGCCGGCGGCGAGTTTATGAGGGAGAAAGAGACGAACGGAGAGGTTATGCTCCGGGGAGTATACAACGTCCTTCGAAACGACGCCGTTTTGTGGTGTTAGAGACGCAGGGACGATCTCGGTGCCGGAAAGCCGCTCGACGCGACCGTCTTTGTATATCCTGACGAACGGAGGATGGTCGTAGACGATATCAGATGAGGAGTGCGAACATATTGAACAGTGAGTGGTTGGAGTGGTCATCCCGCGAATATTCCGGCCGGAGATGCCGTCGGTGGTTGGCGACGATGACAGAGTCAAGTAAGAGCGAGGGAACTGGCGGAAGAAGAGAGAAGGTACTGAACGAAGCGAAGAGGAACAAGTGATTCTTCTGAGCATGGCTACCGGCATATCTTATCCGTCGAGTGTTTTATGTGTTAGGAACGGTGCACTTTTTTGGGATGATAATTGAGTCGGTTTGGAATCGGGATATTCGAAAATTTGTATATTATATATTCGACTTGAATCCAAATAGGTTTTTTTGTATTACATTTTTTAAATATTCCGGTTCGAAAATAGATGCTTCCGATGTCACACGTATGTCTGTATAACAGGGAGGTGTTTGGTGCTTCTTTTCAGTTCAGTATTGGTTTTTCCAAACTCTTTTTGACTTTTGTCTCACTGTAACTATTGCTTTACTTCAACAGAAATTTACAATATCATTTTTACAGCTCAATTTCACGAAAAAAAAACCAATTTGATAGTATAGGAAATCCATTATATTTTTATTTCTTGAAAACAGAATTACATAACCAACTCAAAATTCAAATTTTATTCAGCGGATTTTTTTAAATCATCAACTAATTATTCACTTATGAACACCACAAATTTCTTCAAGAACTTGGAAGCCTTCTCAGAATTAGGTTTTTCGAGATGGAAGACATGTCCTTCTTCTTCTTCCTCAACCACCTCCACATCTCCTTTCCACCCACTCTTCTTCAGCTTCGCCGCGTAACCCAATCCTTGCCGCACGAACACATCTTTCCCGGCAACGGCAACCAAAACCTTATCGCATCCCAAATCGGATAGATCCGACCCGGATCCAACCACGTTAAACAACGGATCGTCCGTGCCATCGACGCTATTCGGGCTCGCGAGTTTCTCCCAGACTTCTGCGATTCCGTTTCTCGTCTCCCTGTCTTGCAGATCGTGCTCGTCGACCGGATCTCTTCCCCAGAAAGCTGGATGCACAATCACAATCCCTTTGATTCTAGGTTCGAGCTTCTCCTTGCCTGCTCTCATCGCCATGTGATGCGTTATGTTACCTCCGGCGCTATCTCCGGCGATAAAAACTCTGCCGAAATCGGCGTGTTTGTTAATCCACTCCTCAGGACCAGATCCATCGGAATGGGAGAAAATCCACTGAATCGCGGACCACGAATCCTCGTACGCCGCCGGAACCGGATCCTCGGGCGCACGGCGGTACTGAATCGATACGGCGAGGCAGTTAGCGAATTTGACAACCTCCGTGAGGTAGTTGTGGTAAATGGGAGAGAAAGGGGACTCGATGATCCAAGCTCCGCCGTGGATGTAGATGAGTAACGGGAGTTTTTTGTCACCGGCGACTAGTTCTGTGGATTTATGAGGGAGAAAGAGACGAACGGAGAGGCTATGCTCCGGCGAGTATACGACGTCCTTCGAAACGACGTCGTTGGTTGTGTCTAGAGACGCCGGGATGATTTCGGTGCCGTTAAGTCGCTCGACACGACCGTCTTTGTAAATTCGGATGAAGGGAGGATGCTCTGAGGCAATTTCAGATTCCATTGGACTGAATGAAAAAGTAGTTGGTGACTTTTGTGATATTTTTTATTTATTACTCATTTTATTACATATATATATATAGTATTTGTTTTTTTTTTAAATGTGAACAAATCTATTTAATGTTGATTCTTTGGATACGAACACGTAGCATCGATAGTGTGGACACGTAAACATTTTATTTTTCTTTTCCTTTTTAATCTAAAGAAAATGACAAAAAGAAAGTAGAAAATTGATTGTTTTGGAAGTATATCTGTCATTATTATTCTCCAACAGCTAAATATGGGCAGATAATGGAAAGTACCTTCAACGAAACCAAATCTTTGTGTTGTTTATCCTTTTAAAGTAATAAATATTCTTCTGCATTTGTCAAAATTGTCAAAGACATTGAAAAGGATTTTTCTATCCACTCTCTAATCTCTATTGTGGGTTTTTGACTAAACAAAACGTCAAAAGTAACAGAGCAGAGGATAGAGCTCAAAATCTCAATACTTATAAAACAGAAATCAATTTACAATTCTCTATTTAATATCTGTTTTTTTCACATTTTTTAAAAAAAATTTTTTTAACTTAATTAAAATATTAGTCCATGTTCACAAAATATGTAACCGTAAATTTTTGTTTCTCTATATTTTACATATTTACTTTTAAATTTATTATTAATATTAAATTTTTTACTTTTTTCTTTTTTCTTAATCGTATTTTTTCTAAATATATGTATTCTATTTTATTTTTTTAAAGATCTGTCTTCTTTCTTTTCCTTTCTGATTCTCATCTCCCAAAGTCAAAATTTTTCTACAAACTTTCAAAATATTAAAAACAGTAATAATTTTTCAAATTGCTATGAAATTGACTGAGTTTCTCAGATCGTAAAAGTGGTAAAAGAGAATTTAGCAAACTTAATCGTAAATCTGAGACAGGCTGCTGGTGCCATGACTATCGATCTCACTTGGATAGGTGGAAGCAAGATTCATATGCTTATTTATGATAGTAAGTAGTTCATATGCTTATTTGTGATAGTAACTATATTTTCTAATTGAGAATTGATTTTAAAAATAAAATTGGTGATTTTCTGGATTTTGATTTATTTGTATTTTTGTTTTTGTAGTCAGATTCATTATTTGATTTAGATAAATCTTTGCCGGATTTATTAAATATTTTTATTTTCTTAAACTAAAATAGAAAAACATGTTTTTTGCATATATACTACGATTTCCATTCCGCAACTTAACTTCCCAGTTTCTTCAATATATGAAACCTGTTAATCTATTTAATCGCTTAATATGAAGCAAAGAAAACAACAATTACATTAGGTGATTTTTTATTTCTCTATTTCTCTGCAATTTTGTTTGGGTACCATAAACTGCAATTGCTTAAAAAATGAAGCTTTCTTTCACACCAATAGCTCAACTAAAACCCGTTTTTGATAATGAAGTTTGGAAGATCAAGGCTCGAGCTGCCTATGTGTGGCGATTCCAAAACAATGAATGAAAAGGTATGTAAGCCTATACAAGCTTTTCTTTGGTTACTCATAATGTACTATATAATATCTAATACCACAATCCCCATTCATAAATCTGTTGTTGTTATTTTAACAGGAGATCGTATACAAGCTTGCATAAGAGGAAAATTAATATCCAAGTTCCAAAGTGAATTTAAGGAGAGAGTATGTCGTGCTTTCAACTTCATTCCTTTTGATATAAGACTTGAGGTGAGAGCGTTAGACACGCGGTTCAGAAGGTGAATGATGGAAATAACACGCTGGCTTTCTCGCTCTCTCGTGATATTCAAGGGATGGAAGCGGTACAACAATACTTGATCTCTAAGGCTTGAAGTTGAAGGGGATCTATCAAGCTGGCTATGACGCTCTCTCTTGAGGGATTGATTGGTGGTTTAAGCAGTGGATCGAGTGCACCACAGAGACAATGAATGGATCTCTGATACAGCAAAAGACTCGTTCTTAGTTGAATCACTCAAGCTAAGACAAGACTAAGTTTTCTAAGCAAGCAGCGGCTTGAAGAAAGTTCGGTTTTTTATTGATAATCAAAGGTGTGAAATGATACAACGCTGCAGGGGAGCTTTATAAACAGCTCGTCAGCTAGCCCTAGGGCTAAAATAAAAGCAAAGAAACGACAACACAAAGTAAAAGAAGAGCTACAAAACGCATAAGGCAAAAATACATAAAAATGGAAAGTTCACTTAACTAAAAGAAAAAAAAACTAAGCCGACTTGCTGGATGACTTTGGGGCTCGAACTTGTGAGGCCTTTCCGTGTTGTTGTGCCTAAGAGCCGCTGGGACAAGTCATGTTACCTGCAAAGGATTGTATAAATTGAGAATACCTGGTTTGGACGCGCATTGTGCTTGTTTGGCAAGTTGTTGTATAAGTCCGGTCCGGTGCTAGTTTGGCCGTATCCCTTGAAGCTCTCGTCTCCTTGATAATCACTGAAGTCGAGCTGGTATGTGGCTTCGAGAGTTCCTCCACGTTTTTGGTGTAAAACGCCTTCTTGCTCCATTGCTGTTATCTCGGCTTCTTGACTTGAGTTTGGTGCTCCGGTACGGCATTGGTACGATTTTTGTTGTTTTGAACCCCATTTCCTGTCAAGTAAATAGTCATACCTTGGTTTGTATCCGGCTGACCTTCTTTGAGGCTCATCTTGGCAAAATCCTCTGAAATGTCTATCTCGGGTGCAATGGCCTTTGGTTGGGGGTTTAGTAGTGTTCCCACGTTCATGTTGAGTAGGAGTGTTTCTACGGCTGTATTGAACCCTTCTCTCAGTCTCCTGGTCTTTGAACGAGTCATGGGTGAACCATTTACTGGTGGTACGATGTCTTGTCCCGGTTCCACTCGTCTCGATTCCACTCATCCCGGTACATCCGTTTGTCCTGGTTCCTCTCGACCCGGTATGTACGGTTGGTCGATATCCTCATCATTCCCTCCCCCTTCGAGAGTTTTTGTCCTCAAAACTGATTCACCTGCATCATATGGAAGTAGATCAGCAACATTAAAGGTATTAAATATGTTGAACTCACCTGTAGCTCCAAGCGGTAAGCATTGTCATTGATCTTCTCTAAGATTCAAAAGGGGCCATCTCCTCTTGGTGCAAGCTTCGAACTTCGCTTATGTGGGAATCTTTCGGGTCTCATGTGAAGCCAAACCCACTCTCCTGGCTTAAATGATAAAGCTTTGGGCTTCTTATCAGCTTGCTTCTTGTAAGCTTCGGTTTTCTTCAAGATGTTCTCTCGGACCTTTTCATGAAGTTTCTTTACAAACTCTCCTTTCCTGAGGCCATCTGAGTTAACTTGCTCACCTTGGGGAATTGGCGAAAGATCAAGAGGGGTTAGTGGATTAAAACCGTATAGTACTTCCAATGGTGACATCTTAGTAGCAGAATGAGTGGAATGATTGTAAGCGAATTCAATGAATGGCAAGCAATCTAACCAGGTTTTAAGATTTCTACCAAGTGTAATCCTAAGTAATGTAGATAAAGGATGGTTTACCACTTCAGTTTGTCCATCCGTTTGGGGATGACAAGTCGTTGAGAAGAGCAGCTTAGTTCCAAGCTTTCTCCACAAGGTTCTCCAAAAGTGGCTTAGGAACTTAGTGTCTCGGTCAGAGACAATAGTCCTGGGGATCCCGTGTAAATGCATCACCTCTTTGAAGAATAACTCGGCGGTTTGAGTGGCATCATTGCTTTTATCACAAGGAATGAAATGTGCCATCTTTGAAAACCGGTCCACAATAACAAAGATAGAATCCTTGTGTCGTATCTTAGGTAAGCCTAGAACAAAATCCATCAAAATATCCACCCATGGTGCGTTAGGTACAGGTAAAGGTAAATAGAGACCATGAGGGTGTAACCTGGATTTAGCCTTATGACAAATGATGCATCTAGAGCAATGTCGTTCCACGTCCCGCTTCAAATGGAGCCAATAGAAATGATCAGCAACAATAGCTAGAGTCTTGTCCACGCCAAAGTGTCCCATAAGGCCACCACCATGAGCTTCTTTAAGTACTAAGTCTCGCATTGAACATTGGGGAATACACAGCCATTTATCCCTAAAGAGGAACCCATCATGTATGTAGAAAGCTCCAAAAGCTCCTTTACCGCACGATTGATAAGCATCTCCTAGCTTCGGGTCTTCTTTATACAAGTCCTTAAGATGTTCAAACCCTAAAAATTTGGCTTCCATGGTAGAGATCAAGGCGTGTCTTCTTGAAAGTGCATCGGCTACCACGTTCTCTTTCCCTTTCTTGTATTTAATCACATATGGAAAGGTTTCCACAAACTCTAACCACTTAGCGTTCCTCCTCTTGAGTGAAGTTTGACCTCTCAAATGCTTAAGGGTCTCGTGATCGGTGTGAATAATGAACTCCTTGGACAACAAGTAATGTTGCCAAGTTTATAAGGCTCGGACCAATGCGTATAACTCCTTGTCGTACGTCGGGTAGTTGAGCGTAGCTCCACTCAGTTTCTCACTGAAAAACGCC